CTCTCAGAAGTATGAATAGGATCTAGGAATAACAATTACTGAAGGCACTAGCCCTGGGGACAAAGAGTCAGCATTTAATATAACTGAGCTTATGCAGGATTTAATGTTTTACCTTTCTCATATTTATGCTTAATTTAAAAGTTTGAAGAATTATTGGACACGACTTAGAAAAGACAGGGGTTAAAGAAATGCCCAGGCATATGTCAAATGGCATTGATTGGATATGCATATTTTGTCTCCTTGTTTAGTATACTGGGTTTGATTTACTGACTAAAATTAGATAATCTGTGCTCCCTACAATATCCAAGTCTTGGTCATGTGGCTGAGAGCTCCAGGAGATGTACTTGAGGAGTGGCAGTGAAGGGACAGATGGGGTACCCCACATTTAGATAGCTGAGCCAAACCTATATGTTGCATGAAGAAACCTACAACTGGCTACAACCTGTAAATGAATTTCACCCTTACTACTCTTCCTGTTTCTTACAGCTTTTAGGAGATTACTGAAGATAAACCCTAAGAAACATGCTAGAACTTAAGAGAGTTATCAGGAACATTATTGCTCTAGAAATGTTCATAAACTTTGCTTTATCTACTGATATAACTGAAACAGAGCTTAGACTGAAAGTAAAATTACATAAGAATTTAATTAAATTATATTATAAAGGATGTGAAAGAGAAGGATCAGAAAGAAATTCTGAGCAAATAATTTCAAAAGATAACATAGATGGGTGCTAGCTTACAGGGGTCTCTAGGAGGCCTCAATATCAACAACACTGAGGTCCACAGAAAGAAACTAAAATTCAGATAGAAACAGGAGCAAGTGAGGAAAAGGTGAAGTAAACCACATGACTGGAGTTATTCAGCAACCATACCACCAGGCAGACCTGCTCCTGATCAAAGCAATTTGGAGCAGCAAAATAAACCTGTAGCATTAACCATACTAAATCATGTCTGACTCGCTCTGGTGTTGACAAAGGGGCATCCTGATGGAGGCAGTGGAGAGATTGAAATTCCTATAACAAAACTTCCCATTTATTTATTTTAATAATTGGAAAAACAGGATAAAAGGCATAAAATTATTCAATTTGTAATAAGTGTCAGTTGAAATGCAACCACTGTTAGGTTGCTAAGAGAAAAAAATCAAATCCAACCAGTATAGCCACAAATAAACGGTTAGCATTGCTGAAGATTTCTTTTTTTTTTTAAAAAAAAAAGGTTGATCTTTCTGTACAAGGAAAGTAAGCGAAAGGACATGCTACTTGAGGGGTTTCATTCAGGAAGAAGAACAAGTTCACAGATGCAAGTGTCTCTGTAACTATGACAACAGTCAGAAGCTTGGGAAGTAGGAAGCCAGAAGTGTGGCTACTTATTACTGCCTCCAGCAAAATTAGTCTCAAAGCTGAATGAAGAACAGATTTTAAAAAAAAAACAAAAAAAAAATTTTCGTGCACTTTCCAAAGTATTTCAAGCCAACTCAAAACAAAATTTAATCAAGCTTTCAGTGAAAAGACTAGACAAAAATGCTTTCATTTTTGTTGGGGTTTTTGTTTGTTTCTTTGTTTGTTTCATTTTCCTTACATGAGAAAATATTTTTTTTGTTTTCCTTACATCATAGAAAACATGTTTTCTCAGTTCTGGTTATTTGAATATTCTTGAAAATAAAAGAAAATAATGCACATGCACAATAGTTCTAAGTGTTGAGTGGGAGGTTTTGGGTTATTTTGTTTTCTTTTTGGGGAAGCATTATTTTTTTCCTGACATAAATAAATCTGTATGCATTTAGAAAGACAGGTTTCATTTTGTAAAAACTACATTTTTCAGGAGAAAAGAGTTTTGCTTAGAGGTTTTCATGTACTTCTCTGAAATATATTTGTAGTTCCCAAAACTGCAGAAAGAAATTATCTGTGCCACCTCCTATAATAAAAAGTATCTCATTTTTTTTCATTGTTTGTCCACTTTCAAATGATGTAGCCTAAATTAGATTTAGTGATAGTATGACAAAAAGACTGAAAATAATGCAAGTTACTTTGACTTCATAGGTCTGCAACTGGAAAGTAACAGCTAAGTATGTACATTAAAATAGCCTGATTCACCATCTTCAAAGAGATCAGTTGCAAAGAGAGAGTACATTGTAAGTTTCATTTGATTTTAAGTTTCCTAAATGTGCTTTAGATTTTACTGTGTGTTAAGAATTCTACTTTGTATATCTTTGATGAATACGCAACTGTTATCATATTTTAGAAAGCCAGTATTAAATCTCATTATGATTGAAAGTTGTAAAAAAAGACTGTTTTCCTAATACCACAGATAACCTGATTTTTGATAATTTATTAAGTTAAGGATTTATATTAATCTTTTATTTTTAAACCAAAAGAAAAAAAACCCACTGTTTAATGAAAAGTTCAATGTGTGTTTAGTAAAAATGCTCTGTGGTCTTCATAAAAAAATTGTATGAGTCATTATATGAATACATGTGCATATAGACACATAAAAACTATAATAATTACCAAAACATTCCATCAAGAAATTTATTTTTTTATTTTAACCATTAAAATTATTTTTAAAAGACCCACAAAATTAGTGGTTTTTGAAAAACTTTTCTTCCTATTTAGAAACCTTTCATGAACAAAGGCAGCCAAATTATGTAGCTTGCTTGGGATAAATAATTGACATGGCTGTGTGTACTCCAGAAGTATGGTAATAATTACTATACCTAAACATTACAAAAGTCATTTCACCATTAGGGTCAAGATCATGAGCTTTTCTTCCTTGAAATGAAGGCCTAGACTCATTAATTTGCAAGATTAATAGTCTGACTAAATTTGCAGCCCAGATGTTTGGGGGGGATGGGAACTCATTCCTCAGAGATGAGGGTATGAAACCCAAACTTAGTCTCTGTGACGAATTTCAATATGACAATTAATATACAGATAGGCACGTACTTATAGAGTTCTCAATACTTTTCTATATGGAGGAACAGGCAATTTTTCCAGTAACTGCTGAGGATGTTTCAATGCACATTGCTATTAGATTAGTATTGACTCATGTCAGGTCCTTTGGTACAAAGTACGGTCTAACATTTCATTCCCCTTTTTTTCCTTCCTTCTTCTACCCCCTAACTCTGAGATAGGGCTTAGAAAATAAATGTGCAGGACTTAGTACTTCTCCTCATTCCTGTCAGTCCATTTCTCCCACTGTTGATATCCCTCTGGATGGCAGCATGACTCTATGGCATATCAGCCACTCCTCCCTCCCAGTTTTGTGTCATCACAAACTTGCTGGAGGGTACAACCTGCACCATTATTCAGATTGTGGGACAATGTGTTTGATAAAATTTTTGACCGTTTGAACAATGTTTATTCTTTAGATTTCCTGAAAAATATATCTTTTTTAGATATTTGGTTTAAGATATAAAAAGGATGTCAAAAAATAATAATAAAAAAGAAGAAATTGAAGTCAAGGAGAGATTTATTTTTTTATTTCAGAGTTTTACAAACTCACTCTTATGCCAATAGGAACAGACACTATTGTCCTTGCCATGTAGAAATCAGCATGCAGTAAGTCATGGGATTCCATGATGACATGATGTATTCATTGTTCAGGTTCAGGATGGTGGATAACCCACCTCCCAAGATCAAGGTGCGAGAGTAATTTTCTTCATAACTCAACCACTCAACCTTTCTCTACATATGCCTTGAGACCACATTCTTGAAAACATCCATAAAAAAAAACAAACAAAAAAGAAAATAGAATCTGATGATCTAACATGCCTCTTTGCTGTATTTTAAGGTGTTTATCATTAGTATAGGAAATGAAAAGCTGGAAAGCACAGATGAGAGTTAGGAGGAAAGAAATAATGGAAAGTGAGACCTATATAAAAGGAATTTAAAGGGGGAGGAAAATGTCCATTACATTCAGAGAAAAACAGGTTTGGAAAAGGAGATGAAATAGGTGAGCAGAAAAGAAAGTGTTATAAAAAGATGCAGTGGGTTTCTGTGGCTGGGTTTTGGTAGTGGGGTGGGGGGGTACGAGGGTGCCTTCTGTTAGAAGCTGCCAAGAACTTCCCCTGTTTTGTGGAGCCAATGTCAGCCGGCTTCAGGATGGGCTTCCTGCCACTGGTCAAGGCCAAGCCAATCAGGAGCAATAGTGATGCCTCTGTGATAACATATTGAAGAACAAAAAGGTATTGCATGGAAACAGTTCCAGCCAGGGAAGAGCAGAGTGAGAACATAGGAACAACAAGGTAGACACTCAGGTCAGTGCAGAAGGAGGGTTAGGAGGTGCTCCAGGCACCGGAGCTCTGGCCCCTGCAGTGGTGAAGACCACGGTGAAGCAGCTGTCCCCCTGCAGCCCACATAGGACCATCGAGGTGCAGAGCCCCACCTGCAGCCCATGGAGGAGTCCACGCTGGAGCAGGTGGATATTTCAAGGAGGCTGTGACCCTGTGGGAGGCCCAAGATGGATTAGGGTTCTGCTGGAGACCTCCAGCCTGTGGAGAGAGAAGTCCATGCTGGAGCAGGTTTTTCCCGGGTGGGACTTGTGGCTGCTGGGGGGAACCCATTCTGGTACAGCTCATCCTTGAAGGACTGCACCCCATGGAGAAGTGACCCAGGGGACAGCAGGTTCGTGAAGAACTGTTGCCTGTGGGAGGGACTCACACTGGAGAGGTCCATCAAGGACTGTCTCCCGTGGGAGGGACCCCACGAGAGCAGGGGAAGGACTCCTCTCTTTGAGCAGTGGCACAAAAAATGACTGGGCGTAAACACCATTCCCTGTACCCCTGGACCGCTGGGGGGGAGGAGGGAAAACACGGAAGAAAGAGGGGGTAGGTGGGAAGGTGTTTTTAATATTATTTTAGCTCTAACTCTTTTACTCTTATCCTGTTAGTAACAAATTCAATTAATATCCCCACAATGAGTCTGTTTTGCCTGTAAAGATAATCAGTAACAGCTCTCATCTCAACTCGTGAGCCACTAGCTGCTTTTTTTCTTCTCTCCTCTGTCCAGTTGCAGAGGGAGAGTGAGAAAGTATGGCTTTAGTGGGTACCTGGCATCCAGCCAGGGTCAACCCCCTACATGACATATTATCAGCAAGAAAGATAAAGAGGTATGTGATGGTTAGTTTCTGATCCCAAGAGAAGATGGAAAAAGGAACCCTAAAGACCTTTGCTTCCTGTAAGGGCAACTAATAGAATTCTGGAAAGTTGTACTCCGAGATGAAAACTAGATACTAATTTAATTTGATTTGGCGTGTCTTTCCTTAGAGGCCAAAAACACTGTAACATTCTAGATTTGCGTCTTCCAGTGAGTAAAGCTGGATATATAAGTTTCTTTATCCAGTGAGTAAAACTGGATATATGAATACTTTTCATTACCTTTGTAAGTCAGGCTAGTCAAAAAATGCCATTGGTAGCTTCATTATGGTCATTCATTTTGTGCAAAGGTGAACTGAAACCAATTTATTTAAATATTCAACCTTCTTACCTTTTTCAAACTGAATATTAAACAATAGGACAAGTTCAACACTCATCTACTCTTCATATATAGCTCTATTAATCTTGCCATCTTCAATGGGTATGCAGAATGCAAATCAGATATGATTTTGGCTTAATGGAGAGTCCTATAATTCTTCAGAACTAATTCCAATCCTTCATGCTCTTTGCAAGCTGCAGCTGCATTAACTCTTTATAGCGAGAAAGAAATGAGGACTGCAAGCTTTATGATCTGTAAGAGTTAAATTATTATACTTCAGTATTTTTGTCGTATGTGCTCTGTTTTATTAAAGGAATCTTAGAATCTCATACCAAGGAGAGAATCTCTTTGTTTTTCTTTCTAGGTATTGCAGGAATGTATAGGAATAACCACTCATCTAGAAAGTCTGCAGTCACGATAGACCTGCACACAAAAAAACCCCAAACAACACAGCTTAAAAGCAAGGCATTTTGTGTTTGATTTATTTTATTCTTTCTTTAAGTATTTCTACAAACTGTTTCCTGACATTGCTTTCAGTTTGAGTACTTCACAGATGTGAAGAAAGCATCAGTTCTTAGATAATCCTAAAAGAAATTTTTAAATTACTGAAAATTTTACCATAATATCAGCAGGTCTTTCTGCTTTGAAAAACTGTTTGAACTCCTTTCTTATTTTTGTGACATTCAAATAATCCACTGACTATTTTAGATTGCATATTGTAATTTTACTCCCTTTTATTGAGGTTTACAGTGATTTTAAAAATCTCTAATAACATTTAATTAAAATGACAAAGGTTAATTTAATTATCATAAAGGCTTAAAGTTTGTGTATCAAAGGGGTATTAAAAATATCACATTTTAGTCTGAGCATTTACTTTCAAATAATGGGGGAAAAAATCAAATGTCCTATATTTCCCTCAGGTTGGAGTATAGGCAGAACTGAGATTCCAGGACCTCAGCAGAAATTCAGTCTTCCTTCCAGACAATGAGTGCATTCAAAAATCCAGAGGCTCTTCCTTTGGTAAGTGTAAAGATTCTTCAAGACCCCTACAGATGTGTATTATTACATTTATTTTTTTCCTCCTCCCGAGGAGCCTATCTCACTCTCACACTCGATTACGATCTATATTTAGGCAGAGACTTTCTTAGACGTTGATTGCATCTCCAGTATAGCCTGAATCACTAGTCTTACTCTAAGCATGATAAACGCAAATATGAAAATATGATTGCACTGAAACTCATTAAAAGTAGAACTCGCCAACTTTTTTTTTGTTTTTCATAATAAGGTCATGATTAAAACATTGGTCCCTCAGTCCAAAAAGTGAATGCCTCTAGAACACAATATCCACCGTGTCTCAGGACATAGTAGAAATAAATATTTTCCTGCTGAAATTATGCCTCTTTTCAAACAGGAATCCACTATCAACAAAACCAGAAGAGAAAAGGCTAGGGCCATGAAACAAATAAGACAGTAAAGTTCTTCTGTTCAGATTCCTTTTCTAGAATTATACCAATTCCTAGCCAGCTCTGGTCCACTGTGGAGTGAATGAAATACTGTTTGGTAGAAAGAATATCTTGCAGATTTGAAGAGCAGTAGAAACTATCTAACTTGTATAAATGTTTGTTTTACGGGTCAGAAATTAAATTGCCCTTTTTTTATGTTTTTCAGGCACTTTCATGACATATATTTTAGAATTATTTAATATTATTTCTTTCTCATTTATTTGTTTGCGAATTTTCTGTGCTCTAAATCCTTAAAAAATTTTGGATATTATTCTTATTCTATGGCACATTATCACATGCATGAACATACACACAAATTGCTACTCATACAAACCACACATATAAAGAAATAGAGAGTGTATGTGTATATGAACCTACTTACAAACATATATACAGTGCTGGGATAACTACATTTGACCAGCATCCAGTCCCACAGTGGGGAGTCCCTCTGTCACAGCCCTGTAGATATGAGGTTGCTTTGGCTTCATGCGACCAGACACAGTAAGTAGTGATGCTAAGCACATATTCCTAAGACTCTTTTTGGTAACTTTAACTCTGAGACAATGGCCTGATCATTCTTGATTATTTTCTTAGGAGTAAAGACTCGGAGTACTTTGTCCTTCACAGATTAGGTTACTTGATTCCTCTGGCAAGCATTGATCCTCACAAGGTCTTTCTAGTTAATTTGACTACCTTTTAGTCAGATAGCCTATACACACGCACACAAACATATATATGTACATGATATAAGCATACACATAGACACAACCCCTCAAAAACTCTCCTTAATGTCCTGGATGACATGTTCAAGTCTGATTTTTCACCTGAGAAAGGATTCATCAGACGTACAAAGGGGTAAACAATAATTATCTGCAAAAGAAAAAAATACAGAATCAAATATTTGTATTTTATTCTTTTTGTCTTAACCCACCTTAGGTGGCACAGCAAGATTACCAGGAACAAGGCTTCTAGAATAACTTATCAAGACATATTACAATACATTTGTTAAATTATTTTATATTTAACATTATTTCATACAAATAAATCCACTAGACCCTTCTTAATAATCAAATTAAGGATGACTATTCCAATATAACTCTAAGACTCAGATCAGGTTCTATAATATGTTCAACAAGTTAAAGGATGAGATGGAGGTGAAGTATTATATTCCCATTACAGTTGTTTTTCCTATCTTTCCCTTTGTCTCACATATGTAAGCATATAAATATGTTTATTCAGTTTTTGCATAAAGCCCATAAGATATAAGCCCCCCAACTCTAGAACAGAAGTTCTAGGAAAAAAAGATAGAAGAGCTAGAACAAAATTCACATATGATGTTAATAGTAAAGTGCGAAATAAAAGGTACTGTTTGTCCTCTACTGTCATCTTGCTTTCTTTCTGTAAGTGTTGACTGCCCTCTGATTACATATGATGTTGAGGCACAACAAAACATGTTTAGTTGCAGAAGTTTATTAGAGCATGTTCAATGACATACTGTGATTATATCTAAAGGTACAAATCACGCCCAAAGCATTACTGAAAATATCTAGAGGCATAAATCATCTTGTAGGTTTTGAAGGTCATCTTATATAATCTATGATCCCTAAAGATATTTATTCTTAGGTAATTTTTACTGCTTAGCTCTGTTCTTTTTCTCTGGTATTTTTTCTCTTCTTCTTCTTTTTTTTTTCTTTCTTACACATGGTTGTCTCCATGGAACACCAGTTAATGATTAAGTCAGTGTATACACTGCTAATACTGGTTTAAAGATCAAGGTTCCCTAATTTCACTGAAGGGAATACCTAATTTCACATCTGAAAATCTGAATCAATTAGGTGAATGTTTAGATTATTTAGCTGTCTGCAAGTGATGTGACTTTCTTTTTTTCCTTTTGTCTGAACTGAACTGTACAATCGTGTAAAGATGGCAAAGTATGCCCATGTATGCCCATGTTTTATATGCAGCTTCTGAAAGACTTTCTGTTCTGATCTGTGGACTAGAACAAAAATGTATTAAATCCTTCTTAATGGGAATAAAACCTTAGTAGGGTCCAAACTATACAGTTTATTAGGATAAAATCAGTTGTATTTCATGAGAATCTGATATCTTTTTATGAAAGGTTAGGAATTTCTGAACCCTACCAAAAGTTCACACTGGGATAAAATTTCAGCAGGAAATATTTGTTATTAAATTCAGTGTTATTCAAGTGTTCTATGGCACACCTGTACAAGGTAGGGACATGTTACAGGCTTGGTCACAAGTGATATTAATTAGGTAGGAAGGCTGAAGATTATACGTTTTTTCCTGACTTCTTATTTCAAAAAACAGGTAGTAGAGATCGCTGATGTAGCTCAACATAATTGTTTCTTTACTGAAAAATACAAAACTCTAGGAAAACTAATTACAAGTTACCATTCTATTATGCTGATTGTCATAACAGAATATATGACCATGTGGGATCATGTAGGAACTAGGGATCATTGTGACAAAAAAACTTCAGAAGACTGACAGGTCAGGCCAGATTTAGACTTTCAATCAGGACTTTACTAAATTCATACATTCACAGCACCCTTCATGCCAGTAATTAATTCCTATCTGCCATTAATAATTATTAATATGAAGACAAAATTTTTAGTCTTTAATATCTCAAATTACCTTGAGTACAAAATGCCACAGAGGTGATGCTGCATATCTGGTGCAGATGACTGTGGTCCTTGGCGGTCCTTGGTGATTAAGATCAAAGTGATCAGATTTGAAAACTCATCGGGAAGAGAATCCAGAACTGAAGTAGTCTTGTCTTTTTTCTTCTGTGCTTTTCCTTCCTCATGTCTGTTGTTTTTATGCTATTCCCACTCCCAACCCTGCCCCCCCTAAAAAAATAAATAAAGGGAGGGCTTGTCTACCTCTGATGCTGCTTACTCTGTGGTTTTGTCAGTCAATATGCTAATGTGTTTGGAAGGATGTTCTGACAATTCTCAGTCGCTTGTATTCCTCTTGTCCTTTGGCAATTTTTTAACACTTGTGGAGGAACATTTTAACACTTGTTAGTCTCTTTAATTTGTCCACACGTCTTTCTTTGCTTCTTTAGCAGTCAAGGAGCATTTTGCTCTCAAGCTTCCGCAAAATGTTTGTGTAATACCTGATTCTGCCATCACAGGTATTATGAAATACGTATTCCCTATTGCTAGTTACACTTATCTAGTACACATATGTAGATCCAGGATAAACTAATTACACCCAAGTTAACACATGTCAAATGTATAAGTGCTACAGTCTCTGATCTGGTTATATGATATTTTTTGATCTGTCCAAATTTCTTCTCAAGTTTCATCAAGGATGTAGCAATAAAAATCTTTTAATCTGCATCAGGTGTATGTCACTTAAATGAGTATTTTAATTATTTCTGGATTTTCTTCTGGTTTGGTTTGTACAATGAAGCAATCTAATAGGCATGAACAGGATTGCTTTCAGACAAAACTAAACATGAAAGTACATTCTGCCAGCACACCTAGTGCGCTGTGGTTAGAAATGGTCATTCAGTCTCTCAGACCTGGCTAGCATCATAGAATGATAGAAATTGGAGGGGACCTCTGGATGTCATCTGGTCCATAAACCTGCTTATAGCAGGAACAACTTAGATCAGGTTGCTCAATGCCTTGTAATGAATATCTCTAAGGATGGAGATTCCAATCTGTTTCACTGCAGGACTTGTTCACAGGGTAAAAAAAAAATCTGTAACGACTAATCAGAATTGCCCTTGTTGCATCTTGTGGCTGCTGCCTCCTGGCCTACCACTTTTAATGTCTGAGAAGAATTTGTCTCTGCTTTTCTATACTGTCTTGTTATATTGTTGAAAATAACAATGAGCTTTCTTTTAGTCTTCTTTTCTTAAGAATGAACAAATTCAGTTCTCTCAGCTTTTCCTTGCATTCACTAGAAAAAATTAAACCGACACATTTGTATTTTAGATCATTTACACCAAAATACTTGCTCTGCAGATCCTCGCCTTTTGTTTTATACTGCCTGTTTCAAGAATCTAAACCGAACCTAGATGCTAGGATTTTTGAAGGATGTTGCTACATCTCTTGCACTAAATGTTCTAAATTTAAAATACTAAAATACTCAGTGGAGTAGAGAAAGATAATTAACAACCTTCTGACAATAAACCCTGACTAGTGAAAGGGACTTTCTCCAGCCATGTCTCATTCTGAAGGAGTTAGAGTAATGACAGAGTTCTTTAAGAATATATTACAACTGCTCAGAATTATTTAGTTCATTAGTCTTTAAGTTATTTTTCACCTTTTCACAACTTTTTTTTTCAAATCACTAAAATGATGTTATTTGAAAAAATGTTTATATATTGAGATACATATATATATATAAAAAATTGTTGCAGCATACAACCTCAGTTGGTTAAATGTTTTCTATTCTGTTTTTGGTTCTACTGAAAATAGATCAGAGCTATGGGAATGACCAAAGAAAAAAGAGAAATCTTTGACAACCTCTTATGTTCAACCT